TCCATTTATAAAAGCGTTGTATATTAAAAAGTTTTTTTTATATTATTTATTTTCTACTTTTTAGTCCTGTCTGAATAAAATTTTGCAATAGATATTAAAATAATTCAACGATATTAATAGAAAGGTGCACACACATGCATTTACATATGTATGTACATACAAACGAGCACCAATTAATTTTATTTAAAGAAATGGCGTGTCGTCTATTTCCGCTGTAGCAAACGTAGTACATAGGGCGACATCTAGATGTCATCTACCTCGCCCTATTCACTACAGCTGTCGCCCTATGCACTATGCTTTTTTATAGGAACTTTTCAAAGCTTTGCTTTGGTGTCGGACACACAACATTGAAAGTTTCTGGACGCACAACATTGCAAGTTGATAAAAGCGTTGTAAAAAGAAAGTCGACCGAACCCACGATGATGGAGTGGGGTTGAATAAAAGGACGAGAAGAGCATGGAGAACTACTTGAAATGTGGTACAAATAAAGCCCCATACATAATATACTCCAAAAATAAAAACCTGAAATGCTTTATTTTAACCAGTTTTGGCTATATTTATTTTATTTATTTAATATTTATTATTTTTTAATACAAGTGCAACTCAGTATGCGTAATACAGTAAAAAAATTATCAAAAATCAATGCAATTCCTTAGCAACTTAAAACTTACACTTTATTATATTAAAATCGAAACCGGATGTCCGTCATACCACCAAAAGATAGAGCGTCTCCGATTTGGTAGGTCATATTATTGCCTTAAATTTATTGCACACTTATGTTAACTTTCACTATGGGCCAATGAGATACAAAAAATCGAAAAGTCAACCTTGAGTGGCGAACTTAGGAAAACTTGACTCACACATAGCCAAAGCAAACTTTCTTCGAAGAGTGACACCTTGCGTATTATTTTAGGTTTGCGCCCAAAAGATAGCTTGTGTTTGCAATTAATATACAAATTTTTATTAACCCTTTGTATGTACATATAAGTAAATTTCTTCACTCTTATACATATCTTCGCTAGTTAGTCGTCCAATGCAACTCTGTGCCGACGATTCCCTGCAAAGTTGCTTTCTCAAAGTCAACGAAAAGCTTAACTCTAGCATTTACACTTCGCCATCACCGACCCCCTGTGCTAATTTTTAACGCGTTTTATAACATATTTACTCTCATGTCTGTAATGGCACTCTCGCTTTGCTTCTGCATCGGTACGTTACCACCACCCACTGCAATCTGCAGCAGTTTCACCAACGAGGAAAAAGAATCATAGTTGCCAACTTGGTGCTTTAAGCACTAGATTTAGTGCTTTTTGAAAACTAAAACGCCAAAAGAAATGGTTTAGTGCCTAGAGCCTTTTTTTGTGCTTTTTTCTGATCTCAGATTTCTCAAATGTATATAGATAAATCATGAAATAATTTGAAATATTTATCGGTTCTTGTAGACTTTTTAGTGCTGAATCCAAATCTGGATGCAGAATTTCTCTAGCTCGTCAAAAGATATCTTAACCTTAAAGTGTCAAAAACACGGGTTTCGCGATATTTGAGGTTATATTATGAATTGACATTTTTTTTTACTCATTTCTTATTGGGGCATCATTTAGTATTACTCATTCCCTTTAAATTTCATTTTCGTTTGTTGCGATTCGATATTTCTTTCTCGTGAGATACTAGTTTTAATGTGCAGTACTTTGGTATTATTTCGTAAGCATGAATCATAATAGCATGTGTAGAGGCTATTCAATCGTTATGAGCGAAAAAGTTTTGAATATTGTTAATTTTTTTACTTTTGTTAAATACAAACTGTTATGATAAAAGTATCCTTTGATAAAAAAATTTTAGTGCTTTTAGTGTGGTAAAACGCTTTTCTTTCCAAGTTTTGGTGCTCTTTGAAATTGAAAAGTTGGCAACGCTGAAAAGAATATCTCAAAAGCGATACTTGACTCTCGAATACATTTCGGTCTCACTTCGAGTTGAGCCGAGTGCGTGTGCGGAACAGTGCCGCGCGGAAGTCCACTTATATCAAATATTAAAAGTGGATAAAATCAAAAAACAAAGAAAAATAACCAAATATATGTTTATAAAGTAAACTTGTGCACTTTCTCGAAGAAAAATACAATAAACATTTTTTTATAAAAAGTAAAATGATTACTACATAAGCGTAGCTGATTTTTCACCTAAAATTTTTTCTTATATCAAAGTTTGTATTATATATGTATATACATAAGTGTATATGTATGTATGTAATTAGCAAAAATAGAGGCGGAAATGAAAACTAACGAAAACTGTGGAAAGAGTGTGCAAAGTTACTAAAAGGATTGAAAATCTGGGTTAGACAAATTTTCTTTGCTGATTTAAGTGAACGAATGTAAATGAAAAATTTGGATTGCCGATAACCGCATAAGATGATAAGTATCCTGTTCCACATTTAAATTATCCTGAGTGTGTGCCATTTTTTGCTGCGCTCCCAATAAGGGTGTTCTACTCTCTCCTCCCACAGCACTAAACGCTCTGCATTGCCTCTCTCCTACTCGCTGCGAATGCATTTAGAAAAAGAGGTATTTTATTATACTGAAATTAAATCCTGCAAACACAACTATGATGTGGAGTAGGTTGTCCCGTTCACACATCACCGCTAAGGAAAAATGGCTGCAACAATTTGAAAAAAATATATATGTAATTTGATTTGGAAAGGAATAAAGACCGATTTCAGTAATTTTTTTTGCAGTTTTCAAGACATATCGCGAAAGTCATACATTGTACTGCGTCTCATCGCACTGCATAGCATCACATCGCGTGGTATCGGACGCAACGGAATCGTGCGGTCATATATCTGTATATATATATTAGTACGTATGTGCAATTGTTTGCGTGCTTTCGTATATCGAAATCGAGTAAAAGGACCAAATATGAACGTGAAACGCTCTCGCAAACCATCTCGTGGTCACACAAAACCGCTCTACGAGGCATAAGAAAAAGCTTTGTGCTGCCACTAGGACGCATTTCTTCGCTTCACACATAGCCAAAGCAAAATTTCACACTCCATTCCCCGCTGACACCTAATGGAAAAAAATCAATTTAGTCAAGAGTAATCCTCTTTCATAAAAAGTAAAATACCGAATTGTGAATGTGTGGCCGAAAACTCCGAGTTTGTGCGAAAATTCTGTGATCTGTAGAAGTGAAATCTGCGCTTGTGTGTTTATAAAAGGATTGTGTGTGATTATACGAAATTTGTCCCTGGAGGACTATTTTTCAAGTGAAAAAGTTTAGTATACATATGTATAGGCCTTTATCTCTATTAAATGTGAGGTGGAAAAATGTGAAAAGCGAGAAGCACCGAAGCGAAGAAATGGCTACATTTACTCAAAAAGTTGGGCGAAACGTGAAATAGTAGATTGCGCTTCTTGCAAAGCATTGCCATTATTGACCACCGAATTACAACGAGTTTTTCAACAACAACAAATACTATTCCACCATCATCACTGATACCAACAACATCGGTATTCGCCGACGACGAGGTCATCGTCACAGTCACCGAAATCATCCAGCACTAGCAGCCAACACATCAGCGTTGGCCAAGAAAGGCATACCTCCCGTCCAGTCAGCGCCACCCACAGATGCAATCGGATCCAGAGCAATCTTCCCACGATAAATCTTCGCGGTGAAGCTGCCACTTGTCCTTTTAGTAGGAGCAGCCGGCTTAATTTGAATCATAAAGTTCAGTCGAAAGCGAATTGCTTTTGGGCTCTACTAGTCGATTAGTCCTACAAGAAACTATGCTCTTACAGCGGTACATATACGTATATTAGTACGTAGATATCTGTTGGGGAAGCGCGAAACTGCATATCGTACATCGAAATTCTGTACCGTGCACACTGTGTATATAGAACACTGCATACTTAATAGATACATATGTATTTTGTAGTCATATGCACTCAAAGCAAAAGTGTTGGATTGTAATCGTCATCCATACATCATAATCGCTGGCACCATCGTCATTACTAGGGTCTACATTTGCGCCGACCGTTTTTGAGCATACATAGATACACCACCGTTTTTGCGTAATCGTCATCATTGGGTCATCGTAATTGTTGTTGCCTTACCGTTTATTCCCAGTAGTGGCTCATTCAGCGCCGGAAATGCGTTACAGCATCAACGGAAATTAAACAAATTATAGCTGAAGTCGGAGTATAAGTGGAAGTGAAAATCCAATCTGAATATATCGTCGAACGAACGCAGACTCGTCTCAAAAAAAAAATATTATTATTTTTTTTATTTCGCAACGAAAGTTTTTTGTGGCGTTGATGTTATTCGCTTTTCGTTTAGAATCGGGATGTCGCTGCTGCATTGAGAGAACAGGTAATAATCGAAATAATTAAGAAGAGGGAGTTGTTTTCAAATTGTATGCACTCAAGAATTTGAGGTGTCATCGAGTTATGTTTTTAATATGCGTTATAACCAAGGTTTGGATTTTAATGCATTTTGTCTGCTTAGTCGTATCTGTAAACAAATAAAAGAATCACACGTTTCATGTCTTCCTTGATTAAAAATTTAAATTTAAATTTTGCCTTTTTTTGCCTTTTTTGATTATATTGCCTTTTCGGCATGTTTTGCCTTTTTAATATTTATCTTTTCATAGAAATTCCCTGTATTGTACCAATTGTGGGACTACGAAAAAATTGTCGTCCCGATTTTTTTTTATTTCGTATCAACAGCCCGCATGTACAAATCTGTACAAAAGTACCAATCGTGTGACACTGAATTAAAATGGCCCAAATTTGTAAAAAAAATTCAACAAAATTTTAAAATGAAATAAATGAAATGAAATTTCGTAAAAATTTCGAGATTATATAATTAGATTTCCTAGAAAGATTCTGACTATGTAGTTTTGTATCCGATTGAATTCTAGTAGATCAAGTACAAGTTTCAAATGGCTAAAAATTATGGTTAATTTTTTTAGAATTTTTTAAAGAGCTCAACATTTTTACGAAAGTTTTTGAATATTGCAAAAAGTTGGAAACTGGGATTTACACGGGTTTTTTTTAAAAATGCACTATATTTTTATAAAAAAAAAATAACAAAAATTAAAAGCAACAAAAATAATATATTAAAACTTGGCAAAAATTGGTGCGGCTATAATTTTTTGACCACTATTTGTATTCTTTATATAGTTAATCTTATATATAAATAGGCAATCATGTTTCCTTTACACCCCTTTTAAGACTAAACTATACTTCTAAGGTATAAACAATTATATATTATTAGAAAGGAATTTTGATGCTGATGCGCAGACAATTTCAAATCAGTCTAACATAAAGCGTAAAAATTCAATTAAAATGTCACACCAACCAATACCATATATGTACATATGTACATGGTTGGGGCGGAAATGTCTCCTAAATGTATGCTTTGATATTGATGCTTAATTAAAGAAACGTGCTAAAAGCAGTTTAGGAATAATATCGCCGTTTAAGTAGAAAACCGCGTATCGTGATTCTGCAAAACCGCGTAACTGACATTGGCTGCCAAATATTGGATTTGCTCACACAAGCTCTTGGCTCAATCCTTATCCATTCGTCCTGAAATATACTAGCCAGGCATGCGATTGCTTTATAAAAAAGAGAACCCTTTTGAAATATGAGTGGTTTTACGCTCTAGAAAATAATTTCTACAACTTCACATACGCGGTTTTGGATTTTGCTGATACGCGGTTTTGCATTTTGTTGATACGGGTTGTTGATAAAGGTAAAAACAAAGATAAATATAAAGAAAAAGATAAGGATGAGGATACCGACAAAAGTATGTAAAGATAAAGATAGAGGAAGAAAGATTTAAGTAAAGGCAATTATAAAGAAAATAATATAGATCGAGGCACAAAGACTCAATCTGGGAACTATTGCAGGATCCTAGATATTTTCGGGGTTCTCGGAACTTATCGATATAACAATCGATATTTTTGTAGACTTTGTTATCGATATTTTGATCGATTTTGCTATAGATAATTTTTATAGATTTTGTTATCGATTATGTTATCGATATTTTTATCGGGTTTGTTATCGATTTTGTTATCGAAATTTACGGATTAGCCAATTTGCGTATCTTACACGCGCAAGGTATCGTAATTGAAAAAGCATTTTTGCACATTCGATAGTTTGAGATGGTAGCGAAGACATGTGTTTTATTGTTTTGTATTGTGTTCCGTTTTGTTGTATTGGTTTGTACTGTATTTTGTTGTGTTGTTTTGTGTATGTAGGCAATCAAGTTTAATTTACATCCCTTTTACGGCTAAACTATACTTCAAAGGTATAAATAATTATATATCACTAGAAAGGTATCTTGTTGCTAACGTGCAGACAATTTTTAACTTTTCAAATTAGTTTAACATAAAGCGAAATAATCAATTCCAAAGTGACACCAATACCAATGCCATATGGGCGGAAATTCCTCCTAAATGTATGCTTTAATATTGATACTGCTAGGCAGGAGTTTAGGAATGAGATGTATGTATGTATGTACATGACTAGATTAAAGGCTCTGTTATGCATACTTGGCATTGCATGCCCTGTATACCATTTTTACGTAGAAATAAAAAACCAACAGATTTCTTCGTAAGGAAGAAGGTAAATTTAAGTAAGTAGAAGAAGAGAGGGATAAATAAAGTAAAGAAATCTAAACATAAAGAGAAATAGGAAGGTATATTTAACGACTTAATATAATAGTAAAGGTGAATATTTAGATAAAGAAAAGAATACAGATAAAGATCTGAATTAAAGTCAAGGAAGTGATAAATATAAAAATAAAAGATAAAAAACGGCAGATACAAAGATATAGATAAAGGTAGAGACGACAAAAGAGAAAGAGAAAAAACTGAAGAATAACATGCTATGTTGTGTAGTATTATGTTGTATTGTATTGTGTTTTATGTCGTGTTGTGCACTTTTGTGTTGTGTTGTGATATGTAATGTTATGTTGTGTTATGTTAAGTTAAGCTATGTTATGTCATGTTATGTTGTTATGTAATGTAATTTTTTGTTATGTAATGTTGTGTTGTTTTATGTTGCTATGTTTTGTTATGTAATGTTATGTTGTGTTTTGTTGTGTTGTCTTGTGTTGTGATATGTTATGATATGTTATGTTATAGTCTGTTATGTTGTTCAACGCATTTCACCTCAATTCGCTTCAACACTCAACTAAAACCAACTCGGCTCAGCACAGCCCACCTCAACTCCCCTTAATTTAAAAGGTTGAATTTCAACCATATAAAAAAAATCCAAAATTTTCATCTTTACTCATTCATGTTTCTATTTAAAAAGCAGACGTGACAATTGCTCCGCAAACCGGTTAATCGTTTCTGCAATTATTTCACATTGATTCTCTAAAACAAATTTTCGATGTATTCTTAAAATGGTTTAAGCATTTAAAGTTAAATTTTATAGGAAATTAAACTAACAATTTATTAAAACTAGTAGTAACCCCCGAAATACGGGTGAGTACTTAGCTCAAATTTTATTTAAAGAACTTCGTGAAAGACAACAATTAATCTTGTATAGCTAGACACCTGATAACCTAGTATAATTTTTAAGCTCCTAAAAGACATTACTCTACTCTAAGCTTCGTGCAATAGGCCATGAGAAAACCGTCATCTTTAAGGTATAGTCCAACCTTTCACAATATCTGGTATTAGTCTTAATCTGAAACGCAATAATCATTGAAAATTGGCGCCGTTTATGGTGAAAAGCATTTAATATCACACTTTCAAACTAAAGCTTTCTTAACCCCAGAAGCCTAATCTATTCGGGAGTAACGTAAAGCCTTAACATACGCCGTAGAGGCTTATGTACTTAAAAGATAACCTGTGAGCTAAAATATACTTAGTCCTGTCTTATTTTTTTTTAAAGAATATAAAGTTGTCAGTTTGACTAATAATAAAACATAGTTTTATTAGTAAAAACTATAACCACATTTTTTTTAAAACAACAAAATAAAAAGTAAATTTTGTGTTAAAATTAAAAAAAAATACCCATTCCGTATACGCCTCGCAGACGTAGATTTATACTTTTAGGGTTAACCCTTTCAATTTTATACTTTTTACAGGTCTATTCTGCGCTGGTAACATAAATTTTATAACCGGTAATTAAAATGTCTGTCAATTTTTAAACCTTTTTCGCATTCTGTGCTCTCTTGTAACCGGTAAATTTGGTTATTATTTCATAAGCTGGTAACAAAATATTGCCCCGTGAAATATGCAATACAGGAGTTTCCACAAATCTTCATAGCTGAGTTGCTGAATATTTTCACTGCATTACCAACGTACCTAGAATCGCGGTGACAAGAAGTGGTAACATTTTTTGGTAATAAAATTTTCTGGTCAGAAATTCTTCGGTAACGTGCAGATTAGACCTGTTAATGTAAACAAAATTTCTATCAGCTGTTCGTCTAACTTGCAAGTGTCTGCAAATTTTCTGTTCGCGTACTATTTTGGATATTTTTCTATTGTGAGAGAACAGATGATATTTCGCCGGAATTTCGCTGTTGGACATTTTTTACTGGAGATTTTAAACGAACGTACCTATTGACTATCCAACATTTAACAGAATTGTTACGAACTGCTTTAACTGACCTAAAACCAGATTTTGAAAATCTCGCCAAAGGGATCTTTTGAATTTTCTTTTATATCTATCTTATGTACAATAGAATAATAATAAAATTAATGTTTTTCATTTTATTTAATAATAATTTAATTTAAAAATAAAATTTTTGTTTTTCTTGTTCTTTTTTTTGTGGCTCTTTGTAGCATTTAGAACTTAGATGTGGCTCTTTTCGGCCTCGGCCTTGCCCACTCCTGCTATATACATTTTCATACAAGGCAGGATTAAACAGTATTAAAAATAAGCTGCAGGAACACAACAGCTGAGCTAAGAAGCAATGACATGCTATAACAGTATGAGATGGAATGACATGGCATAGCAATGCCTGAAATTTTTGAAAATGACATATCAATAGATACGCTGGGAAGAAGTTAAGAAAATGTTTAAATTTATATTTTGTTACCTACTTCACCGATTTGAAATCCGAAAACTATACCTTTCATGAGCATGAAATGGTATTATAACTTTGGCCCGATATTTGTAAGTACCAGAATAAGAAGAGATAGACTCATGAAAATGTGTACTTACAGTATCGGTCATATCTATAGCACGCCATTTCAAAGTGATATTGAGTGCCACTTATATTTATTTATTAATTTTTAAGAATTTTCAATTAACCCTGTGGGGAAATCTCTAGTTCTAAACTGGTGTGCATGTAGTACGTTTAGACCCAGCACTGGTTCGCGATAAATCTCTTTTGCATACAAACAA